CTGAGGAACACTGAGACTCAGGAACCTCATAAGGCGGGGCTGATGGAAGCCAAGACTGTAAGTGCCACCCTGAAACTCTGCCCCATCCAAGCTGAGCACAGAGGCTTTTGCAATTTTCCAAGGCTAGTCGAATAAGGCTGTCTCCTGGTATAGACACAGCTGATCCTCACAGCCAGTTGGCCTGGAGTCAGTTCCTCCCAGTGATACCAACAACAATCAAGACTTAACTACAACAAGGCTATAGACACAGTCCACAAAAGGGGGCACCAAGAGTGTTCACCTCAGGTAACTGGGAGACTGACCCACTGAACCATAAACTGTGAAGAGACTGAATATAAACTGTGCACCTATGGATGAGGACTATGGGGGGTGGGGAAAGGGCAGAGGGTGGGGTGGGAACCTGGTGGAGGGGAGCAATAGAGGGGGAAAAAATGAGGAACATTTATAATAATATGAACAATAAAGATTTATTAAAAAAATAAAAAATAAAAAATAAAAAATAAAAAATAAAAATAAAATAAAATAAAACTTCCCTTGCCAAAACCGGTTTGTCTCAGTGGTAGAGCATCGGCCTGCTGACTGAAAGGTCCCAGGTTCGATTCTGGTCAAGGGCATGTACTTTTGTTGTGGGCACATCCCCAGTGGGGGGGGTGCAAAAGGCAGCTGATCGATGATTCTCTCTCATCGATGTTTCTAACTCTCTATCCCTCTCTCTTCCTCTCTGTAAAAAATCAATAATATATATATTTTTTTATTAAAAAAAAACTTCCCTTATTTGCCTCATGCATTTGTTGTGGAGAGCAAAAATCATATTTGTGAAAATATAAATGTTTTTTATTATAAAAGTAATTAATATTCTTGGGCAATTTTCAAAAGTTGCAGAAAAAGTTGTTCATATATATATATCTATTAAAGTCCTTTCATTGGGACTTCCAGTACACACAATCTTGCTTTGTCCCACAATCACATCAAAATTACAACTAAACTATGGAACAACCATCACTGAGAACTTGCCTGAAATTGAGCTGAATGGAAGGCCTACAGGTAAGGATATAAAGAAGCCACATCAAGACTGATCAGAGGGCCAGGCACAGAACAGGCTAGTCCCACACCCAAATGTGGCTGATAAAAACCTGGAGGAATATCTTGGCTGTGAAGCTCACCCCTGAGGAGCGAGGGGCCCTAGCCCCACACCAGGCCCCTCAGCCCAGGGTTCCAGTGCTGAGAAAAGAAGTCCCCATACCTTCTCACTGTAAAAACCAGTGGGGATTGAAACGGAGTGAGACAGAGGCTGCTGGAGTCCACAGCATTCCTCTTAAAGGGCTCAGACACGGCCTTACTCTGACTCACTTCCTCTGAGCTGGGGGCAGGGAGAAAGTGATAGGGTGGGGGTGGCAGGCAGCAGCTTGAAAGGCACCAGAGACTTATGGGGGAAACTTATTTGTCTGGAATCAGGGGGAGAGCTGGAGGGATAGCTTTCTCCCAGACGGAAGTGCAGGCAGAGGCCTTTTCCTTTGATGAGCTTTCCCCAAACAGAGCAGGCAGATGCCATATCTGAGATTCCATCAACCTTGTTAACACTATCTCCCTCCACACACACCCTGGTGATTCCCTGAGGCCCTGCCCCACCAACTTTCAGGCCCACCCATGCTATTTTCAGTGTCTTTTCCATACAAATGGCCAATCTTGGCTCATGCTTCAGATTTTCCTAAATTCTCTAAAACAAGCAGCATCTGGCACTAGCAGCAACCAGTCTTGGTTCCCAGCATGATCTCCTCTGGGTACCTCCAAGCCCAGCACAAATGGCAGCCATTTGCAGATTGCTTTGTAGCTCATGCCAAGTGGCTCTAAGCAGGACACAGGCAGTGCACATCCTGGGGACCCCAGAGCCAGCACACCCAGTGGACAGCTTCAGATCACTTTGAAGCACCAACACCAACCACTTCCACAAGCAAAACACTCAAAGGGTGGACTCAGTGGGCACCAGTGTCCTGCTGAAATAAGTCTTGCTCTGTAGAGTGGACCCTACCCAGCTGATTCTGCAAGGAGGGTGGAAGTCGGTGGTCAGTAGTCACAGCCAGTCCTTGCAGCTGATCGGCCTGGATAAATACCGTCCACTGACATGCCAATAACAATCAGAGCTCAGCTACAACAGGAGGGTGTATAACCCACACAGACCCCAGAGGACGATAACAAAAGGAGCTTCTCCAACACTCACAGTACAGCCCAGTGCCACCTCCTATTAACCCCATCCTTACCACCTCACAGCAAATGGCAGCCTCACCCGACTTGGGTCAGCAGCAGTGCCAGGAAACAGAAAGTTCTCAGCCCACCCCACACAAAGGCAGATTTCACGCCTGCTCACTTTGTGTGTGAAGAAGACCCATTTGATAACCTCAAGTTAAAAACTATTGAGGAGGCCGAAACCGGTTTGGCTCAGTGGATAGAGCGTCGGCCTGCGGACTGAAAGGTCCCAGGTTCAATTCTGGTCAGGGGCATGTACCTTGGTTGCGGGCACATCCCCAGTGGGCGGTGTGCAAGAGGCAGCTGGTCGATGTTTCTAACACTCCATCCCTCTCAATTCCTCTCTGTGTAAAATCAATAAAATATATTAAAACAAACAAACAAACAAACAAAAAACTATTGAGGAGGTCCTCTAGGAGTTTCGCACTTGCAGACACCGGCCGGTTTATTCCGTGGCGATGCCGTGTGGAAGCCAAAGCTGCAAGTCCCGCATGGTCCCTCCGGCCAGCCGGGCACTTCCGATGAGAGCTGCACCCAGGCCAGCACCAGCAGCTCACCCGCCAGCACCAGCTGCACCCTCTGCTGTTGGTGCACCTGCTGCTGCGCCCCGGCAGCCAGGTCTGATGGCCCAGATGGCAACCACTGCCGCCGGTGTGGCTGTGGGCTCTGCCGTAGGCCACACGCTGAGCCATGCCATCACCGGGGGCTTCGGTGGAGGAAGTAATGCAGAGCCCGCAAGGCCTGACATCACTTACCAGGAGCCCCCGGGAACGCAGGCGAACCAGAGCAGCAGCAGTTTGGCCCATGCCACTATGAGATGAAACAGTTCTTGGAGTGTGCCCAGAACCAGGGTGACCTTAAGCTTTGTGAGGGTTTCAGCGAGGTGCTGAAACAGTGAAAATTTGCAGATGGATTAGCCTAATCAAGAAGGTCAAGTTGAAGAAATGGGAAATCATCTCTCATGTCCAAGTTAACTTAGTATAAAAATATAACTGATAGTGAATATAAAACTAATAGTTAACTCTCCTATATCAATGCTAGTTTCCTCACTTCAGAATTGCAGTGGAAGAGAGTGTGCTTACTGTGTAGAAGTTCATTAAGATGATAATTCACTTTGGGGCTGAGCAGATGTTTGTGTGGCCTCTTTAAACCAGCTTTTGTGATGTTTACAAATCAGTTACAATAAAGTGATTTTCTTTCGGAAAAAAATAAAAATAAAGAAATAACTATTGAGGAGAAGGAAGAACTGAGAAGCATTCTGTTAGGAACCACTGGACCCATTCTGGCTCAGTTATTGGACAATAACTTGCCTGGAGGTGGCTCTGGGTCTGTATTGCAGGATGAAGAAGATTAAAAAAAAAATAACAGGAACAATAAAATGGCAATAAATACATATCTACCAACAATTGAATCTAAAAAACTAGATAAACCAACAGGCAGAAATAGAATCATAGGTACAGAGAATGTTTTGACAGTTGCCAGATGAAAGGGGTGTTGGGAGGGGATGGGTGAAAAGGTGAAGGTATTAAGAAATACAAATTAGTTGTTACAGAATAGTCATGGGAATGTAAAGCATAGGGGATATAGTCAATAATCTATGTATATATATATAACCCTAATATGCAAATAGATCAAACAGTGGAACAACTGAACAACCTGTCTCTATGACGTGCCTGACCACCAAAGGGTGCGCGTGGAATGTGGCCGGCATCAGTAGCAGGAGGGTGGCACAAGTGAGCAGGGAGCCGGATCAAGGCGGGGTGCTGGTTGCTGTCATCTGGGCAAGCCTCTGTTGTTTACTGAAAATTATTTGCTCCCACATGCTGCGGTCCCACTGGGTGCTCGCACCCGCTGCTGCAGGGGGCTGGGCTGTGGGCAGACAGGGAACTGGAGCAATGAGAGGAGGGGCCAGGTGGGGGCACGGAGGATGGGCCAAGACCTGCCCCTGTGCCCACCGCAGCCTCTCGGCCCACAGTTCCTTTCCAGGTGCATGGATTTGTGCACTGGGCCCCTAGTATTATAATAACTATGTATGTTGTCAGATGGATGTGAGATTTATCAGGATGATCACTTATTAAGTATTAAGTAATGTCTAATCACTGGGGTGTACACCTGAAACAAATACAATAATGTATGTCAACTGTAATTGAAAATAAAAAGTTATTTAAGCCGAAGCTGGTTTGGCTCAGTGGTAGAGTGTCGGTCTGCGGACTGAAGGGTCCCAGGTTCGATTCCGGTCAAGGGCATGTACATTGGTTGCGGGCACATCCCCGGTGGGGGGTGTGCAGGAGGCAGCTGGCCGATGTTTCTCTCTCATCGACATTTCTAGCTCTCTATCTCTCTCCCTTCCTCTCTGTTAAAAATCAATAAAATATATTAAAAATAAAATAAAATAAAATAAAATAAAATAAAAAGTTATTTAAAAAATAATAAGATAAAATCCTCACATTGATCCTATGAAGCAGGTACTTTTTTTTCTTTAAACTTGAGTTTGTGGCTTAACCCTATTTCATAGAAGCTTGAGATTAATAATTTGAGAAAAGTATTAATCTTCTCTTTTCCATAACCATGCCTTAGTAAAAATGTCAGAATAATGGTAATAAAGATGATAAGTTGTGAAAGAACTGGAGGTGTCCACCTTAGCTTTCTGTCAGACAGAGCATCTTTCACATAATGGGGCACCAATAATCCTATTGTTTTCATTGAACACGTGTTGTCTCTTGGGTCTCTCTCCCACCCAGACTCCTGGTGCTTACCTCTGAAGTAGACAGACACACAGGGTCTGGGTGGGGGGCTCAGGGGCGGGTTAATCGTGGCAGACTTCACTATCACACGCAGCATGTTGGCGACTCCTTTCCTCCGGAGCTTCCTTCTCCCAGCACCTTTGTCCAAAGCTTCCCCCAGGGCGTATGGGGCTAGTGGACTCCTGAGTCTGTTGCTTAGCAATAGAGGTGATGTCACAAAGGTGGGTAGTTCCCCGTTCTGGGGAGGAATCAGGGGAATGAGAAGAGGAAAAAATCAGGGCATGAAGTCAGGGGCAACAAAACAATATGTCTACATTTCCTCTTTTTTTCTTTTCTTATTCTTTTATTCTATCCTTCTGGTTTCAAGATCAGATATAAGGATAATATTTTCTCTTTATACAAGCAAGTTATCTGCAGTGAACAGTTGCCAAGGTCTTACAATTTAGACAAGAAAATGAGAAGGGAGGCAATCTGAACAATGGGATAGGAAAGTAAAAGACTATTTCAATCATGTTTTAGGAGAAGTCCTGCCTAATGTGTAAGCAAACATTTAGGCCTTTCTTTGGAAGGAAACTAAAGTTCAGCTATGAGTCTCTCTTTAACAAAGAAAATTAGCTCTTACGCCCTCTGGGTTTGTAAAGTTAAAGTCTCAATGCCATTGTAATTTTGACTGCTCTCAAGGCCTCTTGGCTGAGGACGGAATTTTGTCATTTGTTCTTGTCTTCCATGTCTACCTCACTGGACATGACTATAATAGAACCTAGGAGTTGAGAAGATTAAATGAAGTAAATAATTTATGTCACTTAGAGTTTATTTGGCATTCTCTAAATGTTAGCCCTTACTATCACAATTACAAATTAAATAATTATATACATATATATGTATAAAAGGCTAAGTGACTGACCATCCGGCTGGTACATATAACTCACATATGACAACACTGGCAATTTAAAAATAAACATTGATTCACACATGCACAATACATATACTAGCAAAGCTCTTACTGGTGCCAATCTAGACAGAGTAGGGATATTCCTACCTGAACCTGTTTTCAGACATCATCAGTTATATATTACTTTCTCTCGAGTTCAAAGAAATGTATGACATTAAAGTTGTAAATACTTCATTAAAAAGAAAATTAGTCAAGCAAATCTGAAAATGTTTTTATTCTTAATGTGGTATGCAAGGAGATTAGAATAAGTTTAATCAATCTATCAGTCATTGTTTTTATCAGCTTCATATCATGTTTTTATTTTTATATCATGTTTTTGTTGTTTTTATATCATGTCTTTGTTGTTGTTATATCATGTTTTTATTTTTTCTAATTAATTTTCTTTCAATGTGCATGAATCCATGCACCGGGCCACTAGTGTAGATTATAAAGAAGTAGGCTATATCCTCAACACCTAACACAGTACTTATATCACATACTGTGTTTCCCTGAAAATAAGACATCCTCCGAAAATAAGACCTAGCGCATGGAAAGATAAGACATCCCCTGAAAATAAGACCTTGCGCAACTTTGGGAGAAAAAATTAATATAAGACACTGTCTTATTTTCGGGGAAACAGGGTAGTAGAAGAAATATTTGTGGATAAATGAAGGCCAGTGTATCCTACAGGATATCAGAGGAAGGAGAGGTGTTATAGAGAAGAGATGGCCAACTCTAATCCATTGGATGTCTTGGATGGAGAAAACAATTGTGAAGTCACATCAGGTTCAGAGGGAGAGTGGACTGTTATTAATGAGTCACGTTTGCCATTGCAGGAAGGCACTATGGTTTTAACATCCGCTACAGAGAAGCTTTCTGTTTGTTGGAAATAGTCCAGAATTGTGAAGAGGCACTTTGCCTCCTTTCTCCGCACTGCCTAACTCCACTCCCACCCCCACCTTCCTCTAGACACTGGGGATTCCTGTGGCATCGCACAGGCAGGCAGTCTGTCTGCAGCACTGTGTCTCTTCCTTTGGCTACCCTATTTCCATCAGCATTACAAGTCATTAGTCTCACTCCTGCCCTGGTGGGGGACCAAAATCAACCAATCCACTAATCACCCAAAAATGACTGGACTTGGCCCCTGATGGTGCTTTCCATTCCAGGGACATCTGCGTTTGACTGTAGTCCAGGGGTGGTGAGTGTGTGAACATAGGGGTGGGTGATGAATCAAACACCGCAGGGGCCACTGAGGCCAGTGAGACTGCCTAGAGGGCGGGCATATGCAGACCCCATGCTGCCGCACCAGCTGAGCTCAGTGCTGCCACAGACTCCAGTTTTTTTCAAGAGAATCCAGAAACCTTGATTTTTACATGAAGTCTCCCAAATTTAAAATGTTTACAATTAAATAAAAATGTAAGATAGTAATGTGAAGGCCAAAGGAATTGGTGCTGGGTTGTACTTGGCACATTAGCTGTATCTGTTTGGGCCCTTACCAACCTTTCCAGCCCTTCTGCAGTGGCCTGGTCTTTCAGAGCCCAGCTCAGGTGGCTTCTCTTCATGACCACCCCAAGCCCCTCATCAAATCTTTCTTCTTCTGAAACATTCTAGGGTCCCTCACAGTAATTATCTGTGTTCTTGCCAAGTGCCATTATTATCCCATTTCAACACCACTCTGGATAAATGTTTCTTTTATTTTTCCTTATTCTTTTTTCCCCATTTTCTTTATTTCAAGAAAAACTATTTTATTTATTTTATTTTATTTTATTTAAATATATTTTTATTGATTTTTCACAGAGAGGAAGAGAGAGGGTTAGAGAGTCAGAAACATCGATGAGAGAGAATCATCGATCAGCTGCCTCTTGCACAGGGATGTGCCCGCAACCAAGGTACATGCCCTTGACTGGAATCGAACCCGGGACCTTTCAGTCCGCAGGCCAATGCTCTACCACTGAGCCAAACTGGTCTCGGCTCAAGAAAAACTATTTTAAATATAATAATGTTACATGCAATAAATGTTATTATTTCAAGAAAAAACGATCTTAAATATAATGTTACATGCAATAAGCATTAATACCTCAAGAAAAACAATTTTAAATATGTTATATGCAATAAACAATTATTCAAAAAATGATCGTACATATAATAATATTACATGCAATAAACATTAATATTTCAAGAATCAAAGGATTTTAAATATAATAATATTAGAGGCCTGGTGCACAACATTCATGCACTGGGGAGATGGTCCCTCAGCCCGGCCTACACCCTCTCTCAGTCTGGGATTCCTCAGGGGGATATCCGCCTGCCAGCCTAGGCCCATTCCCCATAGCTGACAGTAAGACATCCCCCAAGGGGTCCTTATTGCTGCCATGGAGGCCAGAGAGGCACCTGCCACCGCTGCTATGCTTGCCAGCATGAGTCCAGCTTCTGGCTGACCAGTGCTCACCCTGTGCAGTGCACTGACCACCAGGGGGAGCTCCTGCATCGAGTGTCTGCCCCCTATTGGTCAGTGTGTGTCATAGCCAACAGTAGTTCCACCATTTGGTAGATTTGCATATTTGGGTTTTATTATATAGGATTACCAAAACTGTACTAATATATACTATATCAAAAAAGTTGTAGAAAATATTGAAAATCTGAAAATAATAGGATTACTTCTATTATGTTTTAGAATATTTGCCCCCCTCTGGCTCTATTTTTGTTCATCAGTTTATGTTGTTCTTTATATTCCACAAATAAGTGAAATAATATGATATTTATCTTTCTCTGACTGGCTTATTTTGCTTAGCATGATGCTTTTAAAGTCTACACTGAGTGGTCAGATTATTGATCTCTGAATGCATAATAATATGGCCACTCAGTGTATATCCTATGTAATAAAAGGCTAATATGCAAATTGTCCCCCACCAAGAGCTGGACCAGCAGGCAGGCCAGCCAACCGCCTATGTCCCCTCCCCTTGTCAGGCTGGCTGGACCCCACCCATGCATGAATTCATGCACCGGGCCTCTAATACACACACACACACACACACACACACACATACACACACACACACTTAGTGGCCAGATTATTAGGCATTCAGAGATCATAATAATCTGGCCACTCAGTGTATTTTGTCAAATATGAATATTGCTACTCCAACTCTTTTTTTTTTTCCCCATTTGCATGAAAATTTTTTTCCCATCCCTCCACTTTCATCCTGTGTGTGTCTTTTGTTTTGAGGTGGATCTCTTGTAGACAGCATATAATTGGGTCATGTTTTTGTATTCATTCAGGTACCCTGCACCTTTTAATTAGAGCATTTAATATATTTACATTTAGAGTTATTATTGAGAGAAATTATTTTTAGCCTTTAATTCTGTTTGGCTAGGTTTCTCTCTGTTTCTTCTTCTCAGTAATCCCGTTAGCATTTCTTGTAATGCTGGTTTGGTGGTGATGAACTCTTTTTTTTTGTTTGTTTGTTTGGGAAGCACTTTATTTGGCCTTCTATTTTGAATGATAGCCTTGCTAGATATAGTAATCTTGGTCTCAGATCTTTGCTTTCCATGACCTTGAGTACTTCATGTCATTTCTTCTGGCCTGTAGAGTTTCTGATGAGAAATCAGGTGTCAGCATTATGGAAACTCCTTTGTAGGTAACAGTTTTCTTTTCTCTTGCTGCCTTTAAGATTCTCTCTTTGTCTTCAATTTTTGGCATTTTAAGATGTGCCTGGGCGTGGGTTTGTTTGGATTGTTCTTATTTGGGGTTCTCTGTACCTCCTGAACTTGTGTGACTTTCTCCTTTACCAGGTTAGGGAAGTTTTCTACCATTATTTCTTCAACACCTTCTCTATTCCTTTCTCTCTTTCTGTCTTTTCTGACACACCTGCTATTCTAATATTGTCATTTCACCCTGTCGCTCCCTTAAGCTGTCCTCCTGTTTTTTAATTGTTTTTTTCTTTTTCGTTCTCTAATTGAGTGATATTTTCAACTCTGTCTTCTAATTCACTGATCCGATTCTCAGCTTCCCTTAATCTGCTGCATATTCCTTCCAATGTGTTCTTTGTGTTATGTCATTCTTTATCTCAGACTGTTCTTTTTCATAGTTACTATATCTTTTTCATAGTGTTGAGCATTTTTTTAAAAATATATTTTATTGATTTTTTACAGAGAGGAAGAGAGAGAGATAGAGAGCTAGAAATGTCGATGAGAGAAACGTCGACAAGCTGCCTCTTGCACACCCCTACCGGGGATGTGCCCGCAACCAACGTACATGCCCTTGGCCGGAATCGAACCTGGGACCTTTCAGTCCAC